CTTATGCGGCTCTCTGGTGCTTCAAGAATCAATGCATTGAGAAGGATTTTCCGAGCGCCACGACTGGCTTCGGTGTCGTTCTTTTGTTGTTCAACTGCCGATCTCTTTCTGTCATATGGGTCGGGGACCAGATCCCTGGAATATGGCGCGGTTTCAGACCGGAATGAGCTGCCCTAGCTTTTGTGGTAATGATTCGGCTGCTACACAAGGCATTCACTTCCACGATATGCATACTGTAAGTGTATATTTACTCTGGATCCATCTTTTGCCGAAATCACGCAGTCCGATAGACGTATCGATTGACAGTATACATTGTCTTCCCACCGGACGGAGAGATAGTCCTCACGCTCTCATCTCTTGTCGAATCCCCTTCACCGCCTATGCTGTCCCGGGCGCAGATCCCCTCACTCTTTATTTTCACTCTTTTCCTTGGGTTAGCATGGGCAGCGCGCAACGTCACTGTCGATGACGCTAGCCCCCTCTTCGTTTACGAAGCCGCAGCTTTGGAGCGAAACCATACCGAGTTTACCAGCAAATTGCTCTGGGATGGCACAGTGACATTTATAGCGCCTACCGACACCGCGGCGACGGTCAGCTTGAACTTTACTGGTACGCCCCCACGTTCTGAGCGCAATTGTCCTGGAATACTCAATCCAACGGAGCAGGTACTGCAATATTCATCTACGTTGCGTATCCAGGTGTCAACCAATCCGCTCCCTCTGGGTTCACGGCTCTCATAGACGGTGTCAACTCTGGCAATTGGGCCGCTGCTGAGTCGGCGCTGTTGTACCACCACTTGGTGTACGCTAATACAACGCTCTCAAATGCGCCGCATGAATTCGTCATGCAGATACAACCGCAGTGGGAGCTGTATTTCGACGAAGCGATATACACGTACGTGCCGATTCCATTACCGTCGCGAGCAGCGGGTAAATGGCTTTGTACAGTTCCCAGGATCCGGATACCCCGTCTGCGTCCACACCTACATCCACATCTCTTCCACAGAAATCTGCCTCGCCTTCGCCAACGTCGAATGCAGCGGGCGTATGGCAGACCGGGAATGAATCCCATTCAACCATCCTGATCGGTGCCATTGTCGGTGGCGTCCTACTTCTCGCCCTTATAGGCGTCCTCTGCTTCTTTTTCTACCGGCAAACCTCCACAAAGCGAATTACGCCATTTGCAGCGGAAATCGTCGACGGCAGCAGAGAGTCAGAGAAAGCACGCATCCCTCCACGTGTAACGCCTTTCCTCTTGGGCACTTCTCACCCAGCCCGTTCCAAGAAAACAAAATCCCCTCTTCTCAGTCCTATCACCCCAACCACAGATCTGCATTGGGGATCGATTCCGGAACAAAACCAGCGTGACGGTGATCCCGCCTTGGGAGACCTGGCAGCAGAGGTGCGACGCCTTACGATGTCGTTGCAGCGTCTGGAGACCGGCATCCCTGAGGCCCAAGATGGAGGGCCAGTGTGGCAACGTCCCCCTGCGTACTGCGATTAAATTGCTGTATCGATTGTTTATTATACAGAGCGTTCAGAGCCTCGCAGGTGTTAAATTATAAAGTGTTTGACGACTCGTCAGAAAGTCAGAAATTTGTTCAACCGGACTGCTTATTCCAATTTTCCTTTGTCACGCATTATATATACGGGACTTCGTGGACTATTCTCCGTAGCTTCCGAACAGAAACTGCAGCAAGCCTGTCAGCAACGATGCTCGTAAGTACTTCGCATGTTTTCGTGATTCAGAAGTTGTAGACCTGCAACTCAAAACAAAAAAAGACGGGCTCGACTCGGTGGTTTATTCTGTCTCTAAAGTATGACACCTTCCTTGGTACAATTCGTTCGAGCCAGTATCCAAGTGGCCAGTTTGGCAAGAAAGCCTGAAAGGTTTAAATTAACGTTAACTTCAACGGCGTGGGAAATGAAATTGATCGATTGCTATTGACATCACGTGTTGCCAACCGATTCGGAGTCGACATCGGACGACGACGAGCTCAAGCCACCGTCCACTTACCATCGGATTCTGCCAATCCACAGTGATTTCTCCTGCTCATAGCTGCTGCATCTCTGTGGTCCGAGTATCTCGGAACCAAAAATCTGTATAGAGCTCTTGTCAGGACTCTGACTCTACATGGACTTGAATTGGCGAAGATCCCTCGTACACATCTCGACGCGGGGGGCGAACTTCAACGACGGAAATGCTCCAAAGTGACGCCGAAGTAACGTCAGCCCAACGATAACATCCCGACCACTGCGCCGCAGCGATCGCTCTGCTTATAAGCCGGCGCTGCATCCACGGATTCCAGAACGAAGTGCAAGCCAAAAAAGCTCTCTTCAAGATGGCTTTCTCTCAAAATCCTGGAGATCCAAACTACCGACGCGAACTCGGCGTCAATGGACTCGTTTTGCGCTGGTCTACAGCCACGGATAAGGCTGGCATAGTCCTTGGGTCGTGTCTTGCCCTGACCCAGCAAGAAGGAAAAGAGCTCGATGTTGGAGTGAGGTACATAGAGCCCTACCTGGATGACGATTTTTATGCGGGAAGCTCGTGCGTCACATTCGTCTCCTGTACATGTTCTGTTACTGATACGTTTGCAGGACGAACTGGGCGGTCTGCGTCGACACATCGCCTACACCTACAGACATTCAAGCTGCCAGAGACGACTCTGGATTATATGTCGACCGGATCCGTGCAGAGGCTGAATCGGCGCCGGAGCGAGTCGTAGCCCTTGTATATTTCCTTCCGGGCGAGATGTCATTCGACGAGGATGCAGCGCGGCTACCCATCGGAAAAGCGCAGATTGTCGCCTGCAAGGCAGCATATCGTCAGCGCGGAGGAGGCGAGAATGTCATGAAGGCCCTCTTCGAAATGGTCCACGCACGCGCGCTCGCTACGGGCTGCACGCTCATGACGATCGCTGGAATCCGCGCGTATTGTATGCCGCTTTCTTTGAAGCCTTTCCCGTCATGACTTACGAGGTGGACAGACCGGACCCACGGCTACGAATATGCACTCAATCTAGGGCGCGGCTTAATCACGCATGAATCCACCCTGCGCAAGTACACCGCTACGGAATCCTCGTCGTTCTCCCTACGTCCCGCTACGCTCGCAGATCTCCCCAGCCTTGAGCACCTCGTCACCGCACCTCGCGCCACCACCGACATCTTCGCGGGCGTCTCCGCGACTGTACTCCAGGAACAGCTCCGATGGATCCTCGGCGACCGTCCAGCCTCCTGCGCCGCCCCTACATACCCCACTTTCCCGTTCTTTGTACTGGAGAAGCGAGACTCCCCGGAATCGGCTCCGCGTGTGGTAGCCGCAGCAGGCCTCCTCAATCTCGGCGCACCGTCTGCGATAGTACATCCACTCCTCTGGGATGGGGTGGAGGACGCGTCAGCCGTCACTGTCGCCCTCGTACGTCAGCTCGTCGAGACGCTTAACACGCACTCGAATGACTCGAAGTCCGTGCATCTTCTCCTTCACACCTCGCAGCTGAATGACGTGTCACTTCTCCAGACTTACCACTATCCGCTGGGTCATCACCGACGCGCACCCGCTGCGGCGCTGGCTCCTTGCGCACGAGCTCGCCATCCCAGCACCTCCGTCTTCGCGGTACGACCACCTGAGTATCTGGTACGCCACGCCTCATCTCCCTCTGGTGACGAGATACTGATTGGCGTCTGCTGCAGGTACGCTGCCATCCCATCCCTCCCTGCTTTCCTCAGCGCGCTCGCACCGGCGCTGACTGCCCGCGCCGCCCGCGCGGTGCACGTCCTTGGCGCGACCTACACAGGGACACTGCATATCGCTGCGCCGCGAGCGCTTGGTGGAGGCGTTCTCCTGCATTTGACCGCCGGGACGGTCTCCGTCTCTGTCCCGCCCCCGGAGTCGAGTACGTAACTTGCTTCTTCCGCATTCGTCTTCCCCTCCCCCTCCCTCCTCCGTCCTACCCTCAGCCGTTACCAAAACCCTTGTCCCCCTTCTTCCCATCCCCCTTTCTTTCCTCCTTCCTCCGTGCCTCCTTATCCCCATCTCTTGCGCGCTCCTTGACTCTACCCCCATCCCCTTTCCCTTTCCCTCTCCCTCCCCTCTCCCCTTCCCCGTTCATTCTCGCCCGTCATCTCGCTGTGCTAACCCCGCCCCAGAACCGACTCTCTCCCTCCCACAGGGAGCCCTCATCCAGCTCCTGCTCGGATACGCCACCTGGGCGGAGCTCAAAGCCATCTTCCCCGATGTATCGGTCGATCCGGTGGTCGTGCCCCTCGTCGACCTGTTGTTCCCGAAGCGGGTGGGGATCGGGTCGACGATGCTTGGGGTGCATTGTATCGTTGGCGAGGGCTTCTCTTTCAAGTAGTCTGTATAATATGCCAGTTGGGCCAGAGGGCAAATGATGTTTCGGTATGTATGACCTATCTCTCATTCTCCGCTGTTGGATCGAGGGCTGACGGCCTTTGTAGGGATTCTCGCATTGGATTTACTACCAAATGGAATCGACGGATCGCATCTGTACGAGCCCACGCTGTTAAAAACCTCGTACAATGCATACGGCTCCCCGTGGTCTTCCGCGGACAGCCTTGCGATGCTTACATGGTGACCTCAGAGTGTCGTTGACATACTCTTGCGCTTGCTTTCCCGTTTGTGCATGTCCCGGCCGTTATACCGCCTTGCTCGTACTGCTTCAGTTTTCGCTTGCTGGAAATGTTTGTGGCGGCTTGTGCAAACCTGATCCGCACTAGCCTTTAAGCATTGTGCCGTGCGGCGGAATTCCAAGACCCAGGGACAGATGAATGAGCGGAACGAAAGCAAAACGACTTGCATTATTTAATTCCGTCCGGGCTCGAAGGCTTTCACCATGGACGGTCAGCTGCGGTCGAAGACAAGGGCTCCGTCGGTCACCGGATCAACGTTTCAACTGCGGTCAAGGTGTGACCTCGGTTGCGAAACCGTATGGTGGGCTCGCGCTCCACCACAAACTGCTGTGCTGCAGCCCTCCCATCGGGCGTGTAGTGTAGGGGTTATCGCGCTTGCTTCGCATTTATGCTCCTGCGAGAGGTCTCCGGTTCAATTCCGGACACGTCCATACTTTTGCCTCTCTCCTTGAGGAATCACCGTGAGTACAACACGCAACGACTTTCACCTTATCATAAGCCTGTCGTTTTCTTTTTCCCTCGTAATCCGGTAACTTTGCTTGTACTTGCTTTATGTAAGTAGATTCGCAAGCTACATACCATACCACAGCATTGCTTCGTCCGTAAATTGCTGCAAAACAACTATTGGGATCCGAGCTACATGAAACAGTTATAGTTCGAGCAGCACAGAAAACACATCTGCACAGAATGAAGTCATCAACCTCTGGGAATCACGATTATCCAGTAATTCAACATCCATTCCGTCGTCCTGCAGAGTTTTAACACGGGCCTCAAGGCTGTCTGGGGGATCACTGGTCGAATCCTCTGCATGGAAAATACGCAGGGAAAGAGTCGGATTGCGCTGGAAACGAATCTGTACCATGGTGAAGAAAGTGTCCCACGGAGTGGAACCCAAATAGCCAAATGCGAACGTGGTCAAGTTGGGGCAGAGAGAACGTGGAGACCCCACCGGTAGTTTAACCGATCAGGTCACAGAAATCCTGTGACCGGACCAATGCCGAAGCGGGTCAGGTCACAGACTTGGGTGACCGCTCGAGGGTCCAGAGGGGTCAAGCTCTTACCATATCCGCATACACACCAGGGCTCATTTCCACGCCGTCTCTTCTTACCTCCCTCTTCTACCAACTCGCCGGCCCCCGACTCGCCGCCATGGACGAAAGCATGCTTGATCCGGCGCTTCGAGAAGCACGCTTCGGCGATTCCCCGGCGGCTACCAATGGAGCTACCGCGGTCCAGATTCTCCCACCACCACCACTTGCAGCAGACGCGACGCCGGCGGATACATGGAGCGCGTCGAATTTCGCGCCGAAACGGGATGGGGATGCACGAGAGTCGTCAGAGCAATACCAAACGAGACTGTAAGTAATTCAAGACCTTGGTGAGTCGTCGATGCTAATGAGCACACAGAGATCGCCTAAAGCTTAGGGCGCCTCTCGTCGACGCCTGCACGCGACTCGGAATTAAGACAGCCAAGAGAGCTAATCTTGTGCGCTTGCGGGACGAGCTAGTGAACCATTGGTGCGCAATCTCCGTCTTGCGCTCTATACTATCTTCATCTTCGCGGGCGACAGGTTTCCTGCGACATCCGCGACATCTACTTCTCCGCGCGCTGCCAGCGCGACATCTACCACCGGAACTGCATCTCAGGGCTCTCAATCGAGCTCTAAAGCTCTCGCCAAATCACGCCGGCGTGCAACCAATGCCCATGACGTGCTCGCGTCTGTTCTTGCGCCGGCGGGGGAGACATTGCTTGTGCAGCATCCCTCACGTACCGCGAGCTCCCTGCCAGCATCTTCGTCCGCCGGCGGCTCACGAGGAGAGCTGCGAGGTGGTGTGCCGCTTCTCAACTCGAATCTGCCGGTGCAGACCAATGCTGCACCCCCATCTCGTCTGTTCCATCCCCCATCCTCTACGCTACTTCCCGCGAGTTCTCGGACACCTGCAGTTCGTCGCGTATCAACAGCAGGTCAGGACGTCGAAGAGGACGAGGAGGACGACGAGGAGGATCTGGTTCGCAGATTTAACGTCGAAGGTGCGAACGGCGAGGAACTGCTCGGGTACGATGACGACGATGACGACGAGGATGACAACGACGACGATGATAGCGAGGACGACACAAGTGAGGCTGAACAGGCTCACGCTGCGTTCAAGAAGTCAGTCCGTGTGAAGGCCGTTCGTCGCGCTGAGGGGAACCGCCGTGCTGGAGGTATCAGAACCCAGAAATCGATGGTCAAGGCGTGGGAGGTACGTATATCTACCACGATATTGCCCGTTTCCCTCAATTTTGCTACAGGATTTCAAGGCCATGGCCCTAAAGAAGAAGAAAATCAAGGATGGCATCGTTGACGAGCACGCGCTGCTACTCTACATCGAGTATTCTGCCGAACGCGAGAAGCTTACTACGAGAGGTGTTCCTATCCCCAACTCGCGTCTCGGTGCAGTGAGTCAGCTTCTTTCTTCCTGCGTGTTCATGCTCACAATTCTCGCACAGGCACAATTGAAAAAGTTATTCTTTGGTGCTCTTCGCGTCCGAAAGGAGCAGGATGCTGCAGATAATAATTTGGCCCGTGATCGACCCTCGACGACGTTTATTGTCTGGGAAGCCATAAAAAATCGGATGGACGAGGCGCTGGAGCGTGTGCGCAAGTAAGTTAGGGTTGGTTTTGTTTAGCTGGCGCGATTTGTCAGCGACGGCGCTTAGGTCAGCCTGACCGCAACATAACCGGTGTCCCAGCGCAGGTGTTGGAGGAGGAATACGTCACCACCCGATGGTGCGTGACCGACTGTAGGTGTTCTGCCGAGGTTGAACCCGAAATCGAACCGTGGGAAGAATATTCCGGAGTGTGACCAGCATGTCACACTCCGATAACCCGGGCATAAGGGGGCCCGAGATGCTGCCAGTGGCCGGGTTATCGCAGGGGGTTCCGGGGAGTCGTGCAACGGAGAACCGTCTACAGGGTGTGTCCGAAGGAGCGTATGCGGACACTCCCGACTCGGAGCCCATGACACGAGTGTGGTAGGCCAACAGAGATTGGTGGCAGATGTTGGTATGAGCTTCGTAGCCCGTCAGGCCCTTGCGGTCGCACCGCAAAGGGTCCTGGCATTTGGCGAGTGAAGGTTGTTCCGACATTGAACCACTAAGCGCTAAGGCCGTGATCACCAATTGTTCATCGAGGATCGAGGAGTCGAGGATAGGAGCCAGGGGTTTGCCAGTCAGAACCAGAGACACAGGGAAGCAGAACCCAAGGCAACGAGATAGACTGAAGCGAGCCCAGCTCAAGTCACACACAAGTCCAGTCAAGGCCAAAGTAAGGCCGGAGAATAGACGAGATAGAATCTACTGTACATGGAGATTCTACTGCGAGTTATATACTGTATCGTATAGGAGTCCGATCACAGGAACAAGTGTGACCCTGTCATAAAGGGTTAATACAGGGGCGCCGAGTAAGGAGTCATAATAGAGAAAGTCAGGGACCTGTCCTCCTGTCCTCCAGGAGGCAGCCACTCCTGGCATAAAGGGTTGTATACTCCTAGTACGAGGAGTCCAGGGGTCGATGGGCGCATAGGGGTGTACCTAGCATAAAGGGTTGTATACTCCTAGTAGGAGGAGTCCAGGGGTCGATGGGCGCATAGGAGTGTACCTGCCCATCAAGGAGTGTTCCACATGAACGCAAGGTTAAGGGGTCCGGGTTATTGCACAAGCAATAACCCGCCATAGGTTGTATGGTTCCATTTGTCGGAGAGTGTGATGTGTCTTCCTGTTGGGTTGTATTCGATGACCCAAGCTGTGTATGTGGTGGGTTGCCCCGGTGGTTGGATATCTCGATCCCATGGGCAATAACCCGAAGACGGGTTATTGGCGAAAAAGGAAGTGAAGAAAGTGTCGTCCTGTCGAATCATGACATTACCCCCCCTCTTCAAGGTCGATGTCCCCAGCGACTCGGTTGTATGGTTTGAAGTGCGGTAAACCGTTACCGCCCACACTTCACCCGGTCCCAGTTGTTTTCGCCATGATTTGAGTTGTAGTTGCCAATCCACGATGTGGCGTATCTTTAATCTCGTCTCTGATCACCGTCACCATCTTGGTTACTGCACCCGCGGACGTAATCCGTTTCGGCGGAACAATGTTTCCCATCGTCTTTTGCTGCCCAACAGACAGCATCTGTAGTGCTCAGCCAATAGCCCGGATTTTCACGGGGCTCGTCTCCATAACTCCAGTTGCATGCCGCCTCATTTGGCGCATTCACAGAGAGCATCCATAGTGCTCAGCCAATAACCCGGATTTTCACGGGGTTCGTCTCCATAATTCCAGCCCCAGAAGCAGTTTTGGTCCTTTACTGCTCACGCGAAATGGCATGTCGCATAGCACCAATGGTCCACTGTATAACCGAGCACATCCGGAACCCGGGGAGGGTGGTATCATTGGTGGTTTTGGGAAGTTGGAAATAATGGGAAGGATGTGTCATCGTTCACAATCCAGAGTGTTTGGTGACCGTAGTTCGGAACGGTTGGCGATGTACGTAGCACTCCCTCACTTCGGACCATACGAAGGAGGAATGATGTACAACGGCAGAAGTCAAGGTGGGGGAGGCGGATTGGATAGCCAATCGGCCCTGCGCACTGACATCTGGCATTTCTCCGTGGCGAATTTATGGTGTGTGGTCCGCGGATATCCGCTGCAAAGCTGGGCCCTTCCATGCCCCTGTCCGGTTCCCACTTGAACCGCGCGAAGTTGAACTTGTCGCGAATCAAAACCGAACCGGGAGTAGTTGGAGTGGTGAGATTAGATTGCAGATTGTCGAGAAAGGAATGTGCATGGGGCTTCAGCGGCCCGACCGCCTGTCTTCATCAAGCATCTCAATCCTAAGCGAGGTTCCATCTTCCCGGCACCAGGTGCGCCATTGTTGCGGGCCATAGCTCAGCAACACGGGGTTCGTTTTGTTCCGACACGAGTTGGACTCTTCGTGTGTGGTTCGACAACAACCAAGTTGTCTATAAAAGCCTCCACCCCTATATCCTTCAAGGGGGTGTTTCATCTCCGTTGGTGAAGATCCCGGCTGATTCCCCGGGATCCAACTGTGCCTCGAACGCACTTCTTCTCGGGTTGTTGTTGCAAAGATGCGGTCTCTCCCCATGCTCGCAACGGGGGTGGCCGGGTTATGCTTGCGGCCGGCCCGCACATAAACACAACAACCCGATCCTGCGGAATAAATCTCGCAGCACCTGGAGCACGGGGTTTCCCACTGGATAAATTCCCCGGCGTCCACGTCTAATCGTTGGGTGGCCGGGTTGTCGACTAACCCAGGCCAAGGCGCTCCGTTTTGCGTAACGTAGCCCCTGAGGAGCCCCACAACTTTCCTCAAACACCTCATCAACATTCGGGTGTTTCGGTCGCAGTTTGCAGTGGGAGGAGTAGACTCGGCAGAGGTTG